GAGCTATGATGGAACTTCGGAGAAAATCGAAATAACGTTAGGTTTATCAAGCTCAATAATTAACGACTAACATTAGATGACTATTCTATAACTCTTAACGACAATGTAAGTTATATTGTCATTGCTCAGTTTTCTTATCATGTATAAAATATGGTAATAAGAATATGCGCGACGACGATGTAACAACACCCACAATTGTCGTTAAGAGTTACAGAACAAGAGCCTTAAACTACATAAAATTTAAGCTTTGAACCGTAAGAAAGTGACCCCCCCCCCCTAATCATAATTGATTTTTAAGTTTTAAGTCATAAATATTGACCATCATAGTTGATTTAGCTTTAGCCACAAGAAATTGATCAATCATAGTTGGTTGTTCTCCTCACATTTGACTACGATTAGTCAATTTCTTAAGATTAAGACTTAAAGTTCACGCCTTAAAATTTTATTGTGGACGCCACTTTAGAGAGGCGTATCCGAGAATGCGTGAGAATATGAATGACAAATATGAATATTTTTCGTCAAAGAGATCTTGAATATCTGTAGCCAGTTATAGGATCGGTATTAATCTGCCGATGGGTAATCAAGTAATGAATACATCGTCGGCAAAGACCGTACGTATATAAATCATGCCAGGGAGGATGCCAGGGGCTACAGGGCGGGCCCTTATCTCCAATCAGTACATTGATTGCACGCAGGCAGGTCAAATACCGGCAGCGCCACTCGGCCCTAGCACGATAGCTTATTCAATTTCCGAAACGGCATTCACCATTCAATTCGGCGGTTATCAGCCTATGCCCATCCCCTATCTGGATTTTGCGTGACTCTCTAGAAAGCTGCGTGAATTCGTCCCAAAAGAAAAAGCTCGGATTTATCAATGGGTATAAATCGAGATAATCAAAATTCCGGCGCGTGAGCACGTGATCGCTCTATTTTTACGAAAGGGCCATGCCAGATCTTTGAATTTCGATCACGAGAAAAACTAGAAAGAAAGTTTTCGAAAAATTAAGTAAAATAGTTATTTGTATTTACCTTTTAAGCAATAATTTCTGGGAAGCAATAGTTTCTTGCTGAAGTGCAAACTCACCAACAAACACTACTACACGCGCAACTCATAAACAGATGACCATCTAAACGTTATACACTGAGAAAAATGCTTGGTTAAAAATGGACAAACTAGAAGATTCTGATTATATCAATTAGAATTCCTCAATTAGAATTCCAATAGATAGAACCAGAAAATTTTGATTCCATTTTCAACCAGATTAATCCAACCAGACATTTTTCTCAGTGTAATCTATGACCGACTATATTCATACTTTTATTATCTAAAAAGTTACCGCTTAAATTTTTCGGGAACTTTCTCACTATAATATTTTGAGTCGCAAATTTCAAAACACCCTTATATCCTGTTGTATATTAACTATCCCTACGATAACACAACATCATCGAAAGGGAAATATTCTCCACTACGCGAGAGATATCTCTGACGCTAATTTGATAAGACGAAGTTCTACCGCGAGTACAAGCATTATCATTCGGCGCATTTGCCGTGCGCGTGGCTATCATTCAGTATCTACCGGGCGGTAGCGAGGCTGCGCACTTTCCCGCAGTGTACATAGATAATCGAGCTTAATTAATTGCTCGTGATGCGCGCTCGGGGCTCAGCAAACACATTTACTTATTACCATCCATCTTGAGCGGTGCCTCTCAAGGGGATCGATTTTCCAAGTGCACGCGGCTGATGACACAAATTGCCAAAGGGTCGACGCTCGATCGTAACGCGATCGTTAAATAGAGGCGCGGCTTTTTTCTCCATGATCTCTCTACGACAGCACGACGAGCGTGCCGTTGGAAAAAAAAAAAACCGTACTTAATTATCCTGCAGCTTCCTACAGTAGCGTTCCAAAAAGGACGAGAGTTAATCGTGAACCCTAAACGACCTTTATGCATGAGGCGGCCTGGAACTATCTGTCTTCGTTCGTCCGTTTTGCATATAATGCGTGCGGCGTGTGCGATGTTCCTCCACGTGTGTTAACTTTAATCTAAAATTCCTTTGCGAGGATAACGCGCGTTGACATATTCAACAAGCGTCGCTGCCAATTAATACGCGGAAAGTATCAGTTTTCAATTTTAATAACGCTTCTCTCTCTCCTCCCACAACGTTCATCTCGCGTTTACACTTCACGCTCTCATAAACCGCAAATAGAGATATCGTTTTAACGATAAAATAATACAGACTTTCCCCGACACACGACGGAGGTTCGATGCATATTTCGAAAACGTGGCAATACCGTGTCGCGCTGCGATACCGTGGCACGTTGCCAAAGTGCCAATTGACATCACCTCTCTACTGCAATCGAGCGACTACAAGTATCAGGCGCAACAACGAGATTACGCGGGTAGTTAATAGTCGGGCCACCTTAATCGGTACGTCTCGTCGCCGAAGTACAGTCTACCCGAGCGGAAGTCTCGCTCATCTGATCGTTATTGACTGGTACAGATCCCTTGGGTCGTAAGTGACATTTACACGATACATTCAACGTTAAACTCGTCCGGAGAGACAAGGCGGGAGACGGAGCGTCGTATCTCAGTTCCGGTATCTATACGGACACCGGGTTCCCCTGACAACGAGGCAACAACAAACGCCTAATGGCCAGTTCTCGACTCAAAGTTTAATTTCCTGACCATCGGACAGTGCTTAAAGTGACCTTCTCCCTCCTATCTCTCTCTCTCTCTCTGTTTCCCTCTCTCGCTTTCACCAGCTCGATCTTCCTCTCCCTCTTTCTGTTTCCCCCTTGCTGTCTTGCTTGTCGTCACGACCGCTTTCTCTCCTTCCGTCGTCCCTCACTGGTCTCGGGAATCGCGACCGGACGTACAGCCGCCACTATGAAATATTAAAGAGTTAATGGCGACCCTCTTCACAGAATCGCGAGTAATTACCGCCTGACAGTCGCGTATCGTCGGATTAATCGATAGCGTGGAGTTTGATCCCTCGAGACGACGTTAATTGCTCGTTCGAGAAACGTGTAATCTCTCGCGTTTTTTCCATCCCTTCGATAGACCTTCCAATCTCGCGTTTTCTATTCCTTATGTATGAACACGATGTAATGCGATGCCGTTAAAAAATTTTCTCCACGAGAGAGACAACGGTACGTGTGCAGGTCGCGATAGTATGGTTGCGTTATATCGATCTCGAAGAAGAGAGCTCCATGAACCCGGAACACCCATGCTCGCTTGTTTGACGTACACATATACATGGTATAATGCCTACGTGATCGTGGCACTGACCCCGACCGTAACGTCGCTTCTCTTTGTGCCTGATATGCATACGTGCAGAAAAAGTTTCGGGGTTACCGAGCACGTTCCCACCCCACATATCGCGCATCTTTCCCCCCGTTGTTCTTATAGAAGTATTATAATAAAAGAAAAATAAAAGAAGACAGATGGTCGTAATGCCAATTGTATACGTTAAAAACCAGATTTTCCAGTCTAGTATTCTGTTACCTATTATCATGTTTTTAGTCATATATTTCAATCAAGAATGAAATCATACACATGGCATTTACCTAAGTACGTTAACGAAAATAAAATTTTATAATTATTGAAACCCTGATCAAAATAATCGATACAGCAATGCAATATTATTTTTTAAATAATATTAAGTGAAAACGAATCAAGAAATATTCAATACGAATGAATAAAGAGAGTCAACCATGTTTGGTCAAGGTGAATGTTTGATGCTTAATAATATTTCTGTATGAATTTTTTTACAATTTCCAGTTCAAGCAAATTGCACGACGAGTTTAATTTTCAGTTTAAAAATGCGATCCTAATTATTAAAAATTGTTTAAAATTTTGTAATACTGTTTAAAGACAATTAAATTAATTTAGTAAAAAAAAAAGTGAACAATTTTTTCTTAGTATACTCTTACATGTATTGTATATTATTTCTTTCTTGGTGCCATAAGGATATACACGTCCACACATTACGAATAATACGAATATTTGAAAGATAAAATCGTGTCATCGGTAAACCGTAAGGTCTGGCAACTCTTTTGCGTCTGCGGCAGTTCAGTGATCCTCGGAGGAAAATTGGTCAGAGAGAAAGGATCTGCAAGGCCAGCAGTAGGATAATACCACTATTGGAAACGGCATTCGCGCCAACGGAGACACGGAAGTGGTGAAGAGAAGGGGATGGGGAAGGGGTGTATTGTGCAAAGAGTTCAAGACCGAGCGAAGTCGATAGGAGAGACGAAATCGCACGAGACGGACGGAGACGGAACGAAAAGCGGGAGGGAGGAGTGGAAACTGGGATCGAAGTACGGTCTTGTGTCCCCCACGTCATGAATCATGCATCCTCATCCCCTAGGAGCGAACTGGAACGCGCTGCGGCGGTGCGACCCGTCCGAGAAATAAACAATGTTATTTGTTCGTTGGGATCCCGACCCATCCGCAGCGGTCCAAAGGACTTCTAGCAGGACTAGCGGCGGAAGGACGAGTGGCGGGTTCCGTGCTTTCGTAACCCACAACGATGGGATGAGATACCCGGCTACTCTCCTCCTCGTTCTCTTCGTCCTTTCTCGAGCGCTTCTGTCACTCCTTCTACCTCGTTCCCGTTTCTGCGCTCCACTCGCGAACCCATGCGCACTCTGACAGCTAGAACTGTCAACGGCAGAGGAAGCTCTCGCAACCGCTGATGGTGTTTGAACGGGGCCGAAGTGACGCGAAGGACGAGCGCATACATGCCGGACAAATAACGATACTTCCGCTTTCTCGGCAAACTGGATATTCCTGCTATCCCTGCATGCCGGTTTCGTCCTTCGTCGCCCATGAGCTTTCGTTCTTCTTGCTCCACTTGCCGCATCCTCTCAGAAAGGATAAAAGCAGAAATAGAAAGACGAAAGTCCGCGACTTTCTGTAAATATAAGAAATATCGTAGGAGAACCAGAGACGCCTTATTGCGAGACGACTCTAACGTGTCGTTTTTCTTTTTGTTGCAGATGAACCGTCCTATCCAAGTGAAGCCAGCGGACAGTGAAAACCGCGGAGGTGAGAACAAGCAATCGATCCAATATGTCTCGATATCTCGAAAATTATTTCGCTAATTTAATTACGATGAGGAATATCAAAATTCTTATCAAATTCGATAGAATTAAATTTAATTAAGCATTGAAAAAGAAATTATAACGCTCTTAAAGTAACGCTTTCAATTTTTTAGTATCCACAATATTCTCATTTTTACACCATACAAAGTAAAAAGACGTCGCAAGAGATTGTAATCACACATATTTCGAATATTCATGAACGACAGCAAATAATTAAATATTTCATGAACACGCTGTTAGTGATAAATCAATTACAAATTAGTTTCGTGCTGGAAATACCATACTTCTCGTATTATATAATACATAAATATAGGGGAAACAATTGTATTCTGCGTAGTATAGGTACTCGGTGTCTTTAATAGCATTAGATTCCATATCAATCAAGAGTGCTATGTAATAAACTACAGATAATTCGCTGTAATAGTGAGTCGCGATAACACATTGGTCGTATAAAATTCATACTCGCGCCGGTGGTGGCGCGATAGACTACAGATAAAAAATGTATACCGCGGGTACACCCACCCATCCAGTCGTGCTGATACCCATCGGCTCGGTTCTCTCTACAGAGTTGTCGCGCGTGGCGGCTCCTCTTCGCGCCCGCGCCATATCTTCCACGTGCACACCTTGTGCCGAGAGAGCCAATTTTATTAATTACGTGGAATTTTTCAGCTGGCGATGGCCGTCATGTTGACATTCGCTTATCGCCATGGACGCCGCGGGTCATAAATTTCGCGTCACGGTAGGATAACTGGGGGCAGGCATTCGCGTATGTATGACGAAACTCCAGATAATCGAGAGACAAATTGTCGATCGACCATTGTTTTTAATGAGTGCCCTGCACCTCGCGTCTCCTCCCGGAATCGCGTGACCATACGCCCACCTTTGTCCTGCCAATCTTATAAATATATAATTTCGTTAGTATTATTTGCGAAAAAGCACGATCTCTAATCGGCGCGGTTACGAGCGTTGTAAATAGTATCTCGCGCAAAAATCTGATCGCTTATCCGTATCCCCATTCGTTCATCCGCTCGCGCTCGCGTTCGATTCGTCCCATACGTTAATTTCTATAAAGCACCTCGGCAAATATAACTCGTACCATTGGAGCCACGATTTAATTAAAAATATGGTATTTATCTTTGGAGGCGGGTCATAACCGATCGATACTGTTCCATCCGTTTGGCGAGCGCCATCGTCGAAGCTCCCAGCGTCGCTTCCGATGCATGTAAATAGCAGGGAAGCTCGTCCGGGAATTCCCGAAGGCTAAGAGCCGTTGGGGCCCCCTTCGTTACCATTCGCAAAGTCCGTGCCACACCGGGGACACACAGCGTTCCCGACGAGCTGGCAACTACTCCGAAGTCCTTCCTGCCGACGAAGGTGGGCAGGACTCCAACGCAAGGAGTGCGCCAAGATAAAGGAGGAGAATTCATATAAGAGAGAAAGAGACAGAGACAGGGAGAGGGGGGAGAGAGAGAGAGAGAGAGAGAGAGAGATATATATACATATAGAAATGCGAAGGAAGAGATCGAGCGAGATCGCGCAGGGCGTTAGACCGGGATATGCGGAAGAAGGCACGAGGGGGCGGCGAAGGGGAGTAGATGAGGGGGATCGTAATTCATATGCTAATCTGGAGGAGATGCCATTGTAATCTCCGGTCGCCTGCCTCCGTGCGGCCCCACAAAGCCTCGGCTTGACGCGGATGCAGGAGTGATCCTGAGCACGGTGCTGCTCCCGCCGTTGCTTCTGCGGCGCAGTGTATACCTATGTAGACGCTGTATCTACGTAGTCGCAGAGAGAGTTCAATCAGGGAGGTTACTGAACTTCGACAGCATCGCCGAGCCGCCTCTATCCTCAGCGGTAACCGCCGATGTCTACCCTCTATCGCGTACGGTCCTACAAGATGGTTTCCGCCACTTCATCTTCGCGTCTCTCATTCTCTTTGTCCACCCTTTAATCGCGTCATCCTTAACAGCCAACCCGGCATGATCTTCACGATCCTTCATGACCGCTGACGTAATCCTCAGGTTATCTCGGGCCGATACAAATGTTAATGACGTCATGTAATTCGTTTGGATAACGCACGGGATCATGGCAAATCCTCAGTCGCGTAATTAGTCCGATGTTACGTGTAATCTGCTTTAAGTTGTTAAAACCGGTCATCAACGTCCATCGAAATTAAACTATATTAGAGATATGTTTCAATAACTTCCGCGACATTTGATCACGTTTCGCAATTAACAATATTATAAGATTACTATCCGGTAACAATAGGTGCATTTACTCGAATACCTCTTGTCAGCAGTAATTCATATTTCGGTTTAATCCGTATATAAATTCTATCTCGATCGCATAAATGGATTCTAAGAATCTCATCTTGAAGGCGGATTTAAATCGAATTGAATCACTTTAAGTTGTTCTAAATAGGTCGAATATACTATAATCGTTTCTTGTCGATTTCACGAACTATCACATGAGAAACATTGTATTTTTAGTAAGCAAACTCGATATAACTTTTTCATGATATATTCCTATTTAAAAAAAGGTGTTACACCGCTTCGTATTCATAAAATGATAGTTTAAGGTTTAAGATAGCAATGGCTATAACCACTTCTCTCTTCTGTCGAGACAGATTTCGTTGTTCCAAGGGACTTCTTCGTCTTTTCCCACGTTAATGACTGCCCTTTATGCCTGCGTTTTGGAATCCTCAACATGCGGTTTAGTTACATCATTTTATAGATTTTCTTCTATAACGATTCGAAAGGCGACTCCGCAGAGTAAACGTCTTATTAGCGATACAAAAGGTAAATAAATCAGGCTTTAATTGCGAGACGATGCGAGGCTAAAACGTCCGGCTGCGGAAATGACTTGTTTCACTGTACCAATTCCTCTTATCGCGCGAGATACCGCAAAGTGTTTGTGCGATAAATCCATCCGCGAATTGTACGGAGAACCGTACAAACAATTCAAAAGATATTTCATGCTGAATTTGACGTTATCTTAAATCCTTGCTAACGTTTAGAAATTTACCGTGTTGAGATGCGCGAACAATGACCGTTCATAAATGCACTATCTTCCGTAATATCGGCTGGAATTTTACGAGCGCAACTCATACGAGCTATGCACTTATCCTTTCCAGTTTTTATCGCGGTAATGTATCATCGAAGATACGTTTACTCCAGAAAGAATCTCAGCGAAATCCATTCGAGTGAAGATTCCCGACGTAGCTCTTTTCCGAAACATTTTTCACGCACGTCGATGGTAAGACTCCGCACGCGCGATAATAGCAGCCGAAGCACAGCCGGAATTAAGTTTACAGCGACGAGAACAGATTTGAGAAATGCGTATCTCGCGCGGAAGTTGGCCCGCCGACTCAGGGTCGGTCGAAGTTTCTACGACTGGATAAGGGTGGGTGCCGCTGTACCGGAGCTAGTTGAGCAAGTAGATAAGTTTCGATCCCTCAGCGAGCCACCTTGCTCCTACCGCCATCACTCGCCTACCGCTACCTCTTCGTCGTAGATAAACGTATCCCGGAATATCGGGTTGAGGAAAAGGGGAAAGGGGCCTACGGCCGTCTTCTCGCGTCGCTGCCAAGTTCGACTGACATGACGTGGACTGGTCTTAAACCCATCCGAGAGAAATCCTCGCGGATTATAAGAGTCCGTTTTCGTACCTCTTCTTACGAAGAAGAGCGACGGATGACGGGGTATTCGTCGTAAGGCAAGCGCAAACTTACTCGCTGGATTTGTACTGCAACTTCATTTTATGGTATGTCGGAGAATATTCGCCAAGTTATGTTCGCGTATGAGCAACGACACTTACGAGCAGTATCAGAGAAATATGAAAATTACAAAAGCATTTATGAAATATTTTTATTTACTGTAATATTCACTTGAATGAACGTGTCATAGAATATTTGAATTTCGTAGAGGAAAAATATATTTTGATGTTCGTCGACTTTATTTTATTTTAACTAGAGTTTTAATTACAGCTAGTTTTTCTTCAATTTCTAAATAATAAATTTATGAAAAAATATACTGAATATATTCAATGAGAGAAAAATACCAAAATAATTAAATTTTATTGTAGAGAACATTAATTAAAACTATATTAATAGATTCTTAATTTAATACTCATTTTATTCATTTGGAAAGAAAGAATAACAAGCTAACAGATATATTTTTTTGAAATTATTATTTTAATCCTCCCTCCCCGCGAATAGTCACCTGGAGTATTTTTATATCCCAGCGACAAAAAAATGTGAATTGTAAAATATCGTTTTACGATATTGTTCAATATATTTTTTCTTCCGTAATAACCATTCTTTACAAACCTTTAAATATGCAATTCTATCGAAAAATCGTAATAAAAAAGCGTTATGTTAAAATTTTTTTAAATATTATTAAACAAGAGCTATTTGACGCGTTTTTTCCATTTACTATTTCTATAATTTCTACCTACGTTTTTTAAAAAATTATGAGTAAATCTATACCCATAATATTTTCAAATACTAATAATTTAAATAAAGCGATTAATTGGTATTAATTAATGACAATTCGACAGAACAGGGCCATTTGACAGGTTTATAGTATAGGAAAAATACATTATCATGAATAAAACGCGGTTTAGATATCCGCGTCGTGTCAAACAAAACGTTCGCTTTGTTCTCGTCGTCCAGCGAGATGATAATTTCTCGAGAGTTAATTCCTCTTTCGCTTCCGCTTGGGGAGTCGAAAGGCGCGTTAACACTTAGCTCCGGCGACAAAGGTCCAATTCTTGGTCCCTACGGTATCCTGACGCGACAATGGGAGCGAACTCTCGGCGAAAAGTACCCGGGGCTAAGGACAGACGGGATATTTCCCGACGAGGCGTTGATACGCCGAAGGGAATCGAGACGGGTGTGCGCGGTATGAGGATTGCCAGGGGTAAAAAGAGGGAGAGGGAAGAATCTGCGGAAAGCGGGGATGCAACGAGGCTGCAAGTCAGGCGAGAATCTAATTTCCCGAGACAAATCCTTAAATGTGCCCCGGAGCCTGGCTGGAAGGCGCGAGCCGAGGCATCTCACGGAATGAGCTCTCTCGTCTAGCATCCGCGACAACGACCTTTAACTCGGCTCGCCAATTTTGCGTCTCCATAACCCCCTCGCGAAACGCGTCATTAAGCTCATTCACGCGAGAAATGCGGTAGATCGAAAACAGAGCGTCGCAATCCGAGATGCAGTCGCGATCTAACCGGAAAAACATAAACTCGCCCCCCTCAGTGTTTTTTGCTCGAACGAGATTGCCCGATGCATTGCACATAAAAACAGCGTCTCTTAATTAATTTACTGACGATAAAAACAACAGGACGAAACCTTTTAGAAAAATCTGCAATAAATTTATCAATGTTGATATGAACTCCTACGAAAGATTTCTCAATTCGTTGCAAACGTATTGAGGTGTTTACGAAAATCATTCCATTTCATTATCGTAAATAGCATAATATTTCAAATCTTGTTACCGGTGTTATTGATATTTCGTGATAGTTTAATTCCTGCGATTATTAATCTGATTGTATTATATCCACGACTAATATTATATTATGAAAATTAGGTTGCTATAATTATATAATATCTAATTGCAATGTTAAAATCAAAAATACCACACTTGATATTTAACAATAATCAAACGGAATATACATTTTAATGAGACTTAATCGTTGCTACGCAAATGAATTCAGTGTAGTAACCTGAAAATCGATAAGTAATGATTAATTATAAAATAAATTTATAAGAGAGAAGTAGTTTTCGCTCAACGCAGCGATAAGCATCGATCTTTTTTTTTTTTTACAAATAATATTCTTGTTACTGATCATAATTTTTTTTTTTATAATGTGATAGGTCGTATCGTATTCATCACGCAGAAGATCCGATCGAAAGAAATGTCCTGTACGGTACGAGTATACGAAAGAAAACGCATGGGTACGATTCGCAGTTGGGCGAGATTAAGATCGAATTGAATCTTGCGAGGATTCATATAGACAACGAATGGTGTATTTTTTTAGGTCCAATGCCATTTCTTTGTTTCTGTTCTGTATTCCAGAGTGCATGATGGACGACGGGAGCGCCTGTGCCATCTTCTGGAAGTAGGAAGCACCGGTTTCGGCCGCTGAAGGTAACTTCGACTTCCAGGAGATAGCTAGCTTCCTTCCAGTACCTCTATTCTTCTCCGCAAATTGGCAGAAAGAGAACTTCCCCCCTCGATGAAATGAGAACAAAATGAATAAGGAAAAAGAAACGGGTCCAACTACCCAGCCCCTCATTCTCTCCCGCCAACATCACGCCAACACCGCTGATTCAGCCAGCACAGCCCGCCGCAAAGTTCATTTTGCTGCTCGCTAGTGTTTGAACCACCAAAACTCCAGCATTCCCTCACGAACCACTATCCCTTAGCCCGACTTAGTGCAGCCGGTACATATCTATCCGTCGAGAAGGCTAAATTTGCACAAAGTGCTCGTCCAAATTCTTTCGTAAAAAAAAAAAAGAAAGGTCTCAAATTTCTCGGAGCTTTTGACACGCGCGCGACTCATTAGGACTCTCGCGTACGTTTAGGATTATATCCATGAATTGGCACAAGCAATTGGTTAAAAATTCAAAAGTTTGATTTCCCCAAATACATTGATTTTTCAAAAATCCAAATCTCTTCGCTGATAAAATTCTCGAGTTGCTCTGAGCTGAAAATTCAATCGTAATAACTCGCACGTTCTTCCGGTAATGCGCACTGCTTAACCGCGCGATGAAAACGCTATTGGGCTCCTCTATGTCAGTCTCGCCATCCCCTTCTTATCCGTTTCTCATCCGGCACGATACGCATCATTTTACGCATTACAGAAGGTATTATAGACAGTGTTGTGCGTACCCACATGCGTGACTGAAACCTGTAGCCGTAAACCTGTCGTTCGTGTTTTTTTGCTCTGTTTATTACGCACCGCCGTTACACACTATTGAAGCCTCGTTACGACGAGGCGTGCGTGGCGTGGACGCTCTTAGAATTCAGACCGGCACAATGAACCGAGAGTGATGCAGAATATATGAGAGAATCGCGGTCTTAGAGCGTCTACCGACCGTACGATAGCAACGACCCTTTGCTCCGAGTACCGAGTTTATTGTACGTTTCTAAGTCCATAAGTCCCGACGTCTTACATTCCCGAACCCCCCTGTCTAATCTCATATCCATATTCGTATGGACAAAACCATCTTGATCGTACATATTATATATATATAAAATTATATTATATATATATACATATATATATCGCTCTTTACAGCTATGATCATATAATAGTGGCTCGCTCGTTGGATGTGTTGTCTCGTTCGTTGTCAATGTGTTTTTTATCACCTCTGTACATATTTTCTGATTATGATATAATATATGTGAGCTACATTTATCTTATTGTATTATCTAGATTTGACATTTCTATATATAACAATATAACATCCCTATTTCTCAACAGTCGATTGAACCATTCTCCCACCTGCCGCATTCCATTCCCAGTTCAATTGAAACTATTTCCTGTGTTATCCTACTAATTGTGAATCTCGCACAGCCATAATCGTATTTTACTATTTGATATTACGAGGATACACACACACACACACATACACACATAACGAATACATACATTAATATACATTCAGTGCAGATATTTCTAAACAAACTATCGCTAATTTATCAAAATTTGATTTCGTAACTGCTACAATAATTATTTTAAGATAAATCTAGCTTACACAAAGTCGAAAATATTTTTAAAAGCGAAATTGATCAAAATCTTTTGCCAAACAGTTTCAAGTACGCTGCATCCACCTTAAAAATGAGCTAAACGGAAATCAAAATGATTTTTATATTGAAATGATAATCTTGAAAAATTCTCAATCGGATAAAATCATATACTTTTCATTTAACATGAAACGCCTTATATGACCCGTTCTTCCTCATTCAACTTTTCGCGCACAACTTAGAAATAGCTGCAGAATATAATAAGTATTCATTGTTAAACTTTGTGTAACGGTGATCCATCTCGAGAATACATTACGTTTCCTGTCTGCTAAACAACTAAACAGTAGTTTAGCGGTATTGTTTCTACAGTTGTAAAAAAAAAATTGAAAAACTCGACACGGATCACCGTCGGGAGTATCAGCTATAATTGGATCGCTTAACATCCTACCTGATTTTATCGCGATTCCGTTTGTTTTCGGTTTTTGATATACTTATATTATAATACCGAATGTAGCTCAACATTGATTTTGAATTATTTCCCATGTCTCTGTTATATTACGATTTTCGTTCCCATTAAAGTACCGTTTTCCACTGTTACAACACTGTATGTTACATTGTTGTCGGTTATGATAATTGTTCCCGTGGTTGTTCTCGGTTTACTATTGTCGCACAGAAGACACACACATAAAACCCATAACCCACACACATACACTTGCGCGATTTCCAGTGCTATTAGATGTACACGTTGACGTAATAACGAGTGTAACCGTGCGCGTTTAAGGTACCGTACGTGTGCACATCAGATATGTTACGTTTTTATATATATATTATATATCTATATATCCCTATCTCCCTCCCTTTAGGATGGTGGATGCTGGTGTAACCGTGTAACTTTGTCGTTCTCGGTGTTAGCCGCAAGATCTTCTCTTTAACGCCTATAACGCTTAGCTCACACACAGAACTGACTAACGTTGTTCTTTCTTTTTTTTCTCTGTTCCCTCTATTTCGCAACGTGCCGTCGTCGACCCGCAGACAGAAAGCTGTTCGTTGGTATGTTAAGCAAGCAACAAACTGAAGACGATGTGCGACAGCTGTTTACTACCTTCGGTTCAATAGAGGAGTGCACCATCCTCCGTGGACCCGACGGAAGCAGCAGAGGTGAGTGCTCATTGTCAGCTGTTTACATGATATATTTGCTAACTGTTGCATGATTAGTAATCGTGTATACAAACAAGGTACAATCAATTTTCTCAACCTATCTCCGAAATAAATATTTCCTCGAGAAAACTGTACGATTTAAGTATCACCCGCTTACTTTAATTTTACATTCGACACAGAAAATTCGTGAGAAAACATACGTGAGAATCGCAGATATTACGACCAACGATTCGCTATCGCAAAAAGTTCAAAGATCGCCGATAAAGGAATTTAAAAATAGCTTCAGTGCTTCAGTCCCTGAGGGATTAAGCACGAAAACCGTATTCTCTCTAGAACTAAGTGTACCGTAACGTGGTGCGCGTATATTTTTATGTCGTGGGATAAAAGCATAGGCACATTGTCCATAAAAATACGGGTATCTGTGCAATTTTTAGCCGCAGGGCGGGATATTCGCGTCCCTCTTTACTGCACGATCGTTTTACGTCTTCGCCGCGCATTACCTCTCTTCCACTCGATTCATACAGTTTTAATCTTTAAAAAATCAGCGAACATAACCATTTGTGAAGCTTACGTAATTTCAACGCTGTTGTTTCATCTCGTTAGCGTGCAAAAGCAATTAATTTCATGATATATAAAACGCGATAAGTGCTCATTGTATTTAGTTTCTATTAATAATTGCAACCACAAAATTACTTTTATTAAACTGAAGTTTATTTAACTGAAGTTTAATTTGAATTTTTAAAAATTGAGTTTTTGTAATTTTATATAAAGATCTCTCACACATTTTTATCGTGTAAAAAAAAACAGTGACATTTTGTTAAAGAAAAATTTGTTTTAAAATGGTCGAGAAATAAAAAGGAGGTAGTGTGGTAACCTTGGACACTTTGTACATCATCATTTGAGAGAGCCGTGAAGCTCATAATCCGCGGCGCCTTTAGGCATTTTCATCGAACGATGAAGCGACAAAGAGACTCTCCGGGGCACTTGCTTTTCAGAGGGGGGGGGGTGGGGACGAACGGACTCCGTGAAATTAATCATGAGATGAGGCAGCAAAAGGGAAGGAGGGCGACTATCTCAAAGGAAAGAAGGCAATTGCCTCGACCAAGCATTACGAGAAGGAAAAAAGAGATAGAGACTCACCGCCCCGACGATGATGCACGACTAAGGAAGGATATAATCGCGACGGCATTTGAATATTCGCTCGCGCTGTTTACAGCGCGAAAGGATAGATAAGGCGGCAAGAGGATGGATGTAATTCGGGCGGGGATAACTGACGGAATATGGCGGACGAAAAGTGGGCGCGGAGCTGCAGTCGGACGAAGCGGCGAGAGCAATAATTTCCGCTGGACGAGGCGGCGAAATTTAAATATTTTCATTCAAGAGTGAAGACCTCGCGATGCGTCTTCACTCGGAAGGTAACTAGAGGAGGAGAGGAGAAGGGGGGGGGGG